AACTAGAATACTTTCCTACTTATTTTCTATTTTCTACTTATTTCCTATTTTCTAAGCATTTAGCTTGCCTTCACACACACCACAGCTTTAAAATTTTTTTTCTTTCTTTCTTTTTTTTTTTTTTGAGACAGGGTTTCTCTGTGTAGCTTTACACCTTTCCTGGATCTCGCTACATAGACCAGGCTGGCCTGGAACTCACAGAGATCCGCCTGGTTCTGCCTCCTGAATGCTGGGATTAAAGGCATGCGCCACCACCGTCCGGCTTAGTCTTAATATTTTAAAGTATCTGTAAAAAATTATTTTGTCTGTTCCTTAATGTTTAAGTATGGGTTAAAGATACATTGGCTTTGGATACCAGTTACAACTGGATTTTGTAGATTTACTAAGCATCACTAGAAATTACACAGGGGACATAAAAATTCGACTTGTTTGCTTAAGTAGTGACAGTTTTGTAACAAATACCGTATTTTATAATAGGAGGTTTTAGTTTTAAAAGAGAACATTTTCATTGGCTAAAGAGTTCATAGTGAAGAAGCAGATAAGGATTTATATTAGCATAATCTGACAATAAGATTATGGTTAAAAAGAACCAAGATTAGGTTTCCAAAATGAAGAGAAAAGCAAAATTTGATTTAACAATATAACTCAAATGTAAGTTTCAAGAGAAGATAGCTTTTTGAATATTAATGTTCTAAGTGATGTGGAATATGTAAATATTGATAACAGGGAAAAAAATCTGATCTTACAGTGTAATTCAGGTAGTGCTTTTTTTTTTTATATGTTTGATGATGACTTGTCTTTTTTTTTTCTTCTCCTTTTAGAATATGGTTTCTAGTTTTAGGGTTTCTGAATTACAAGTGTTACTTGGCTTTGCTGGACGGAATAAAAGTGGACGCAAGCATGACCTCCTGATGAGGGCGTTGCATTTATTGAAGAGTGGCTGCAGCCCTGCGGTTCAGATTAAAATTCGAGAATTATATAGACGCCGGTACCCACGGACACTTGAAGGACTTTCTGATTTATCCACAATCAAATCATCAGTTTTCAGTTTGGATGGTAGTTCCTCACCAGTAGAACCTGACTTGGCTGTGGCTGGAATCCACTCGTTGCCTTCTACTTCAATTACACCTCATTCACCATCATCTCCTGTTGGTTCTGTGCTGCTTCAGGACACTAAGCCCACCTTTGAGATGCAGCAGCCGTCTCCTCCCATTCCTCCTGTCCATCCTGATGTGCAGCTAAAAAACCTGCCCTTTTATGATGTCCTTGATGTTCTCATCAAACCTACAAGTTTAGGTAAGTATTAAAGAAAAATTACTTTTTAATTAAAAAAAATGTTTGTTTGTTTAGAAGAGAATAAAACAGTCTACAACTATTTATTAGTGATTTGCTGTTAATACCTTAAAAGTGATAGCCATGGTGGGCAAGAGGAATCTTAGGGTAGACACACTTACTGCCAAGTCTGACAATCTGAACTCAGTTACAAAGCCCCACAGGGTGAGAGGAGAGGACTTATTCCTGGAACAAGTTCTCTGATCCTGCATACGTGTATCACAGCATATATGGTCCCACAGATAAATAAATACCAAAAATATTCATAAGAATGGATAGCCAGGCATGGTGATGTGCAGTAATCTGAGAGATCTTTGGGCTCAGGCAAAAATCCTCATAGGGAGTCCAGCCTGGGCTACCTAGTAAGTTTGAAGCCAGTCTGGATTACATAGTCCTTATCTCAAAACAAAAGCAAATCCTACCCCCCTTTAAAAAAAAATCAAGGGGCTAGGGAGATGCTTAAATGTGTAAAAGCAGCAAGCTTGAGGGCCTGTGTTTGAATACCTCGAACCCATGTAGACCCAGACTTATAATCTCAGTGTTCCTTCCTACAGGGAGGTGGGAAATGAAGATGAAAAATCTCAGAGGCGCGCGCGCGCGCGCGCGCGCACACACACACACACACACACACACACACACACACACACACACGCACACGACTTACACCTGAGATTGTGCTCTGATTTATGTGCCCTTGCCCTCATTGGCACATGTGAATGTGGGTGCACATGTAAATGTTAAAACAAGTCAGGCATGGTGGCTTATGCCTATAGTCCCAGTACTTGGGAAACTGAAGCAAGGAGGTTTCTGAGAATGGGGCTAGCCTGGGCTACATAGTACTGGGCCAACCAGGGTTAGATTACAAGATCCTGTCTTAAAAGCAAAATGAGACAATAAAACTGAACAAACAAACTACAAAATTGAGGTATTACTGCTAAACATTTAAATGTACAAGTAAAAAATTCTGGTGGCCATAACTGAAGTTTAATGTAAAAATGTTATACCATTTGTCTTTTTTTTTTCTTCTTCTAATTTTTAAAGAGTTTTGTATGTGTGGCAGAGGGATAGGGAGGGGTGTAAAAAGCCAATATAGAACTTAATCTTCATTTTGCCTATTGGAGTCTTACTGTATAGCCCAGGCTAGACTGAAATGCTGTCTTACTGCCTCAGCCTCTCAAGAAGTTAGATTACAGGTGTATCACTGCACCTGGCTAACGTTTTCCTTTCAAATTTGTGTGCCTTTTGTTTAATTCTTCTGCCCTCTCAATTCCCGTGGCTAGAACTACCTCCCATATTCTTCCTATGTCTTAAGGACTCAGATTGACTTGGGCTTCATGTCTGTATCAAGTTTTGGTAGTGTTACAGAATCCTAGCTTATGTTTAATGTAGTTTTCAGCTACTTTCCTAAGGATAAACCTTGTGGGGCTGAAGAGATGACTCAGTGGGTAACAGGAAGTACTGCTCTTGCAGAAGACCCAGTTCAGTTTCCAGCACCTGTATCAGGGTGGCTCACAACAGCTGTACCACATACAGCTCCAGGCGATATGAACACCTTTACATACATATAGTATAACCCATACAAACACTTACACATAATTAAAAGAATTAATCTCTAAAAATAAACCTCTGAAGGGTGAAAGAGTGTTGGATAAACAGTTTCTTGCTACATGTTTATTATCTTGTGTGTATGTGGATGCTACATTTTATCTTGGTAACTCAGGATGAGTCAGATAGGACTGGTTAATGAGACAGGGATGGACTGATTGTTGACAGGCCGAGATGGCTACTTGGTATCTTTTACTTTTTGTGTCACTTATTTATGTTTTAGCAGTTTAAATTATGCAAGAAAAGTAAGAAACCCATTAAACTTCTTGCCATTATTACTGCTATTAAAAACGGATTTTTGAAGACAATGACATGTCTCAGTAAGTAAAAGGTGTTACTGTGGAGCCTCATAACCTGAACCTAGATGCTTAGAACCCACATGGGAGAAGAGGTCTGACTTGTGCAAGTTGTTCTCTGATTGTGTGTGTGTGTGTGTGTGTGTGTGTGTGTGTGTGTAAGTGTAATAATAAATAATAATGTCCAACCACCACAAAAACTGTACATATCTTTGAAATTTTGTTATGAAAACCTGCTTTTTATTTTGGAAATCAATATTAGAGGAAAAGCAATATGCCTCAGTTGGGTCAAAGACACTTGTCGCCAAACCTGAAGACGTGAATTTTATATCCATAATCCACAGGATGGATGGAGAGAACTGACCCTTGCAAGTTATCTTCTGACCTCTACAAGTGCTCTGTTGCATGCACACATAATAGAAAAAAAATAAACATTAAACACTCTAACAGAAAGCTGGGTACAGTGAGTCGTACACACCTGTACTCCCAAGACTTGTTAAGTAAAAGGAGGATCAAGAATCAAAATCATCCTTGGCTATACATTTTTGGGTGTACCTGAGCTGCAGGAGACCCACTCTCAAACCAAAGACAAAGCTGGTCAGTGGTGGTGCACACCTTTAATCCCAGCACTTGGAGGCAGAGGCAGGTGGATCTCTGAATTCCAGGCCAGCCTGCTCTATAGAACTACTTCCAGGACAGCCAAAGCTACACAATCAACCAAAATAATAATAGGAACTAACATTTAGAATGCTTATTGTTTAGTTATTTTTCTTCATAACATACTTTCATTTTTACCTCTTTTTAAAATTTTTTTAATAAGACAAAAAAAACCAACAACAACAAAAAACAAAAAAACAAAGACAAGGTCTCACTGTATATCCCTGACTGGCCTAGAACTTGGTATGTAGACTAGGCTGGCCTTTCAATTTTCAGTGATCCACCTGCCTATTCTTCACAAGTGCTGGAATTAATGTGTGCATCACTTTGCCTGGCTCATTTTATTATCTCCCCTCCCCCAAGTTTCATTTATCTGGTTAAAATAAATTTATTTTCTCTTTCTTTTTTAAATCCTGGTTGTTGGTTATACCAGTGCACAGCATTGTGGCTCATATACATGCTTTGTGTTTTTTTTTTCCTTGTGCAGTTGTTGGAGAATTGTTCTGTAGTTTGAATCTTGCGTTCTGTTTAGGTGTTTTTAAAGGGATGGTATACCACTTGAGTATGTTTTAAAGTTCATGGAACTTAAGTGTGAGATATCGGTTTATTAGGTTATTGGGCATGCAATTTAAAGGGTTGTTGGATTCCAAGTCCACTCTTGCACTTCCTCTTCCTTTCTTCTCTCCTCATCTCTCTCCTTTGTTTTCTCTCTCCATCCTTGACTGCAATGTCTAGTATGTGTTAGGACTAGGATGTGACACCACAGGCTCAATGCAATTGGACCAGCCAGTCATGGTTTGAAACCTCTAAAATTTGGAAAACTTTTTTTTTTAATGTATTCAGGAATTTATTATTGTGAGGGATACCTAGTTAGCACATTTAGGTAACCATATGTGATGTGAGGACCCCTAAGGAACATGGCACAGAAGAGGAGATAAAGGGGTGTGAGTCTGTTGGATCTTGGTTACAGTAGAATGGGTTTTAGAAACATGTTTGACTACTTTAGGGTGGGGCCAAGGGAAAACCAGCCATGTGTCTGTACTCATTAGCAGTTTAGGAGCTGAATTCTGGACACCATCTAGTTTTCTTTCCTTACTGCTTTGTTTAGAAATAGGAAGATTCTTTCTTTAACTGTATTTGTAGCCTCTTTTGTTTTTTTTGTTTTTTTTTTTGTTTTTTTTACTAATTTCAGCAAGACTGAAGGATATATATATATATTTAAGGGTTTCTCTGTGTAGCTTTGCGCCTTTCCTGGATCTTGCTCTGTAGACCAGGCTGGCCTTGAACTCACAAAGATCCACCTGCCTCTGCCTCCCCAGTGCTGGGATTAAAGGCATGCGTCACCACCACCCGGCTAGGAAAATATTTTATTTTATTTTTATAAATTTAATAAAATAAACTTTTATATTGGGCATTCCAAGTAAGTTTTGTTTGGCTTGGTGGAATTGTACTAGAAATTTTTTTTGGAAACAAGGTCTCTCAGTGTAGCCCCTGGTTGTTCTAGAACTCACTATGTAGGCCAGTCTGGCCTTGAATTCACAGAATTCTACTTACTGCTGCCTCTCAGTGCTTGGGCTAAAAGGGTATGCCACTATGCTCAGCTGGAGATACTTAATTTGGAGAATAGTTAAGAAAGCCTGTATTTTGCTCATAAACAGATTACAATGCTAGAAATTCCTATAACCTGTTTTATAGTTATGCCCCCAACCAGTATAAACTGTTTATAAGTTTTTCAGTATTCATACTTGTCACTGTTTTTTATAATTGCTTATTTTCCTCAATTTTTTTTTTTCCTGATTGTAAACATCAGAAACAGAACAGGAAGGGAAGGTCCCTTAGGATCTCATTTCTGGTTCAGCCAGAGACATCTCAAAATTGTCTGTCTCTTTATGTATTGTCTTTTTTTTCCCCCCTATTCTCTATTTGAAAAGACTTGTAGTTGCAGGGGCACCTTGTTGTCATTCCTGCCTTCTAGAGATTCTCACCAGAACAGTCCCTCTCAGTGTTTTTGAAAGTCTATTACATATCTTTAGATTATAATTGGTCTATTACCTTGGTGTATACCAGTAGTCTAATGTACATTTTCAGTTTTTGCTCACTTAGAATATTTTAGTATATGAAATGTCAGGCACCATTCCTACAGTCCTATATACATATCATCTGTGAGCATCTTCACTTATATTTCCGAATAACTACACATATTTATGAAAGACAAATAAATGCCTAGATGAAAGATTGAACCCATGACAGGAATATTTAAAATTTTGATATTCAGCCAAGTTTGACAACAGCTTCAAAAGCTTTCTACTAGTTTATTCTCCCCAACAGCATATGATTGTATTGTTTTCCTACATTCCTCACGAATATTGTATTAATGTTTTTTTAATTCTTGCTAATTTCAAAGACTGTAGAGTTAATAGTTTAACTTCTTTTCATATCTTTAAGTCCTTCATATTAGGATATGCTCAGTAAGCTCCTGAGTATGCTCTAACTGTTATAAAAGTGATGTGCTCATTAATGTTAATCCATTAAAATGAGTGCTTTAAATTATTTGAATAAATAAAACAAACATATCTTATTAACTCAGGTAATAAATGAGTAATAATTTGGAGGTGGCCATGCGGTCTAATTGTAGGGAAGCTAGAAGAAAATTGAGATGGCTTTAGGGAGTATGTTATTTAGTTTAGGAGTTATTAAGTGGAAAAAGGAAAAACATAACTGGGCAAAAACATAACATACCTATAACTTGGGAAGCTGAGGTAGGAGGATGGCTATACAGGAAGACATGTTAGAGAGGGTTTGAAAAACTGTAGCAGAGTCCTGGGCTGGAAGCTCAGGGCTCAAGGGCTTCTCTAGCATGTATGAGGCTCTAAAGTGGATCCCTGGTACTGAAAAGTGAGCAGAGATTAACAACTGAGTGTGTAGTTATGATTAAATATTATAAATTATGCTCAGGTTTTGCATTGGCCTAATTAATGGGGAATTCAACTAAGCTTTCTTATAGAGACTTGAGGGAGCTTGTAATGACAAGTCTATATACTTGGGATTATTGTAATTTGTAGATGTAACCAATCGTCTTATTAAAATAAGAAACACAGAGCCAATGTAAAAGAGAAAGCCGAGAGGTCAGAGCTCAGAGATAAAATCTTACCTCCTGCAGTGCTCCTAACTTCCCCGCGAGAGAGCTACTTCCTGTTTGTCTGTGTTTAGTCTTTCTCTTCTGCCTTCTCATTGGTTGTAAACACAATCACATGACTGCCTCATCACTGCCTGTAAGTACCGCCCTCCAGGTCTTAAAGGCGTATGTCTCCAATACTGGCTGTATCCCTGAACACACAGAAATCTACCTAGCTCTTCTAACCATCACACTCTTGCTATGGCTCTAATAGTTCTGACCCCAGGGCAACTTTATTTATTAACATAAAATTAAAATCACATTTCAATACAAATAAAATATCACCATAGTAATTTATGTCAAGAAAGGATTGAGCTCTCATTAATCATAGAAGTTGAAATTGTAGTGCATAATTGTAAGGCCAAATGTTAAGAAACTGAATAGACTTCAGAAGGCTTAAGAAATACAGGTTTGCTAGGAAAAGAGCTAAGATTGTTGTCGATATAGGACTGTACCAAAAGGAATTTAGATATGTCTTATTCATACATGGGGCATTATAGCCCAGGAATGGTTATAGAAGTGATTTTAAAGAGGACTGACTCTACACTTGTTCTCATGGGAAGTTGATGGCAATAGTAGATATTGAGCAGAGTGATGTCAGTAAGAATGGGCGCCGGGCGGTGGTGGCGCACGCCTTTAATCCCAGCACTCGGGAGGCAGAGCCAGGCGGATCTCTGTGAGTTCGAGGCCAGCCTGGACTACCAA